GTGAGCCACAAGGCATCTAGAAACAGAACTCTGTGCATCCTGGCGTGGACCCAATAGTACTATGCAAATCATGAGATGATATGAAAGAAAAGTGCAAGTGTGGTAAATCTTGGAAAAGAAGACAAAAATGGAGTTTTCCCAAGAATTGTCATTGTGAGACTGTGAATGGTCAAGATTGGCATAGTAACTGCAAGATTCTCACTAATATTCACCAACCCAACATTTTCAGTAGTTAAACACATTAAACATTAACTAAACTCTTCCAAATGATACATAATGTGAAACATGATATGGTTGGTACCAGAATAGTTGATTACAAAAATAAGGGAAGCATTACTTCTTGTGTTACCTCATGCAAAATATTTAGGTCATTGACAGGATGAGAACAGAGTGCAGGGTTCATGGCTTTGTCTTAGCCCCTTGTTTGAGTTTTAAAGTCATGTTTAAGTTCCTCTTCTTCAGTACATATCAGTTCCAGACATCAGAGCAGACTTCTGATATCTCTCTCAGTTCAAGCACCACTGCAGAACCTTGAGTCACCACATGCTCAGGAGCCACCTTTGTCACTGCTACTCAGGTCAGCCAGACTATCCTGTCCCAGTTCAAGTCCTCCCCATGCCTGTCACTGATATGTCTAAGGTTCCACTCCTCCCCCTGGTGGTCAAAAGTGAAACAGCAGCAGGTCTCAAGTTGGACAGCTGTTCATTTACTCCTATCATCAACACAAGGGAATTATTTACAGTTATACATTGATAGTTATTATGAACAATCGCCAGCAGTGAAGTCATGAGCACATCTAAGAAAATCAATGATCTCACAGAATTTTCACTTTAGTGAGACTGACAAAAATCAAATGAACAAATCCTGTTCTATGGCTGCTCCTAACTTACTCCTTAGGGATTCTCATTCCCTTTCTCAATGTTGTTGTGGCTTTTGAACTTAAGGCCTGGATGCTGTGGTTGAGGTTTTCTGCTCAAAGATAGCACTGAACTACTTGATCCACAGTTTCACTGCTGGTTTTGTTGGTTAATTGGAGGTAAGAGTCTCACAGAGGTTTGTGTGTGAGCTGGCATTGACCTGTGATCCTCAAAGCTCAGTTTCCTGAGTAGCTAGAATTACAGCTTTGAGTCACTGGTCCCCAGTCGAATTCTCCCATTTTCAGCAATGTGCTGAATCAGGGCACATGGTATTGGCCTTCCAGTTCCATTTAGTGTCTTCTACTTTATCATAATGAAAAGAGAACTAGACAAGAAGTTGAACAGCTGAACAATTATATTTCATGGAAATTAAACTCAACTGTGTGGTGACTAGTGGCCAGTTATCCAAACTAAGGCAGAGGTCTTCTAATCCATCATGTGTTCACAGCTTGAAGCAGTACACACTGGTCATTGAGGATGATTACTGTCTGATGAAATCTACATAATCCAACACAGACATATTTTTAGCAGGGTGTATATTTTTACTATATTCATCATGTGTTTCAATAAAAAGTAGCCTGTCCATTTATTTAAAGGGAAGGATTTCAGGGTAAAAAAGAGAAAGGAACATTAGTCTCTTATATCCCAATATTTTCAATAACCCCTTTTAGTGCTATGAGTAACCTTTTCCTTCTCTGATTAACTCAGAGCATTGGTCCCTAATTGTAGAGTGGACACTTGCTTCTCTAAAACACTGATTTTGCTTTTATAATTCTCAGGTATTATTTGGTGTGCTGTTCAGTTTTGAGGATGTTGATTCCCATCATATTTCATAGATTGGGTTCAGTCTCACTAACTGGACTTTCAGAGAAAACATGCCCGAGGAGGCAATGCCATGTGGTTATCTATCCTCACGGGGCATATTACCTGTGCTTCCCTCATAGAGAGAACACTGTGTAACAAAGATTGTTGGATTTCAGTCTTTATTCACATACAGGCCCAAGCATCTCTCTCTCTCTCTCTTTCTCTTTTTCTCT